CTTGTGGCCATTATTTCTTGTAATCCCCGGGGGCCCCTTGGTGAATAAACCCTCACCAATTCCCTTCTGTGCCCCCGTGATGAACTTATAGGCAGCCACAAGGTCGCCTCTCAACCTTCTCTTGCGGAGGCTGAAGAGGTCCAGGTGCCCCAGTCTCTCCTCATAGGGCTTGGTCTGCAAGCCCTTAACCATACGATTGGCCCTTCTCTGGACCCTCTCCAGGAGGTTATCCGCATCCCTCTTGAAGTGCGGTGCCCAGAATTGCATGCAGTACTCCAACTACGGTCTGACCAGCGCCTGATAGAGGGGACGTATCACCTCTTTGGATCTATTCGTCATGCATCTGCTGATGCATGATAAAGTGCCATTGGCTTTTTTGATGGCTTCGTCACACTGCTGACTCATGTTCATCTTGGAGTCCACTAGGACTCCAAGATCCCTTTCCACTTCCGTGCCCCACAGCAGGTCATTCCCTAGGCTGTAGGTGTGCTGGCCATTTTTCCTCCCTAGGTGCAGTACTTTGCATTTCTCCTTGTTGAACTGCATTCTGTTGTTTTCTGCCCACTTGTCCAACCTGTCCAGGTCTGCTTGCAGCTGGTCCCTGCCCTCCGGCATGTCCACTTCTCCCCATAGCTTTGTGTCATCCGCAAACTTGGACAAAGTACATTTCACTCAATTGTCCAAGTCGCTGATGAAGACATTAAAGAGTATCGGTCCAAGGACCAAGCCCTGCGGGACCCCACTGCCCACACCCTTCCAGGTCGAAACCGCCCCATCCACCACGACTCTCTGGGTGCGACCCTCTAGCCAATTCACCACCCACCGGACTGTGTAGTCATCCAAGTCACAGCCTCTTAACTTGTTCACCAGTATGGGGTGGGATACTGTATCGAAGGCCTTCCTGAAGTCTAAGTATACGACATCCACCCCTCCTCCTGTGTCCAGGCATCTCCATTAGCATGAGATGCACCCATCACATTGACCTCAGGGCTTTCACACCAAAGGATAACCTTTTCAGCTGAAAGGAAAGGATTGAGTTTCTGTGAAGTTTGCCTTGCTCACTTGCGGTTGACGTCTGTCAGGTTGATGGTGGGTAGGATTCAAGGAAAAAGTCACCCCTAGTGAATTATATTCATCAGCCCTTTTGTTGTCATTACAAGTGTCCTTTGGGTGTTGGACAGCTGCCCTGCATGCTAAGGAGTTAATCCCTTTCTGCTTTCAAAGCTGTAAAGCTAATGCCTTCAAACCCAGCTTAGGAAGAGCCCAGTGTGCAGTTTGTATGACCCTTGGGTTGGAACTAACAGTAGGGACAGTGGATAGCTGTATTGTTCCATTGTCTTCCCTTTAGCCTAAGGTAAATCAAATCACTCTCTCTCTGGTTAACATTAGTAGTGGGGTAGGACCCTTAGCATACAGCATCTAAATGCTAATCCAGCCACTGTGCAATTTGTTTTGCTGACAGCTGGTGCAGAAACAATGGGAGAAGCAGGAGACGGTGCGGGCGCTGTGGCACTGGTCACTCTCCCTGCAGGCAAAGGTAAGGAGTGTGTTAGACTGATGCACACCAGGATCTGTGCTGAGAGTGTGCAGGTTCAGCTGTGCTAGGTAGGTTCTCCTTGGACCACCATGTTCTGCTTTGGGATGCTTTGATCTCTGATGCTGTCCTGTAATAAAAGCATTTGTTTCTTCTGTCCAATCGCAGATGACTTCCTCATGCCTCCCTATCTCCCTCTGTCCCAAGAGGGAGGAATAGCCATAGTGCATCTCTGCCTGCTACTATCCTGGCCTCCCCAAAAGTTCCCTCTTCAGAGGACTGATAATTCCTGTAGCAGCACTCTGAAATCTGGCCTTCTCTTTGCTTCCTACAGGTGTTTGATGCCTGGCTAGGGTTTGTCCAGGAGCGGCAGAGGAAGAAAGGCCGCATTGAAAGTGCTGTGGGAGTTTACCGTGCCACTCTGCTGAAAGAAGGTGTGACACGGATCCTGAGATATGTGGCTGGCATGAAACAGTTCCGGGGACAGCTTCAAGCCCAGCACCAGCTAAAGGTAAAGGGGCTGCATGTTGCCATTTGGCTCCATGCACCTGGCTCTGATCCCTTGGCTTCTGAGGTAGGGGGGGTGGTGAGGTTTAGGTTCTACATGGACCTAGCAGTATTCCTTCTGTCCATTGGCTCAGCTCAGTTGGAGCCTTTTAGACTGTTGCTGTCAATTAGCAACCTTGAAACTGAACTCCCCCCTGCCCTATAGCTGCTTGCACAGCACAGCTAGGCAACAACTTTGCCTGTCTGCAGTGTGGCTCAAAGTTTCCCTTAGTGTATGTTCAAGTAGTGGGGCAGATGCTGTCTCAAACTCAGTGATAGTCTACATTTCATTTAACCCCCTTCCAACATGGATGTCACAGCCATAGAACAGGACCCTAGAGGCACCTCTGAGCTCTGCAGCTGTGTCTATCTACAGGAGAAGCTGTGTAGCACCAGGAAGCCAGAATACTCATTCAAAAATACCTGTAAAGAAAAATCCCTGGGCACTGTAGGAAGTGACCTTTAAAATGCCCAGAGTCAGGTACCTTCAGTCAGTGCTTGTAGCTCCTGTTTAGCAGCAGTTGCCTTTGTAATTCAACGTGGCCTTACAGATAGGAGGGGGACTTGCCAGCTTTCTCCCTGCTGCTGTTCCTGGGTAAGACTCTGCTTGCTTCCCTGTTTGTAAGAGAGTCAGATACCTTGGCTGTTTTGCTGGTCCTGGTGCTACAGTGGTGGCTGGTAATTTTCTCTACTGGACTGAAACAAGTTGGGCTGATGCTTCCAGCACTGGGAGCTGATATCATGGCCATCTTGTCATTTTGACCATTTGCCAAGCCCCACCTCTCTCTGCAGGACCCTCCTCTCTGGGTGGCGTGGTGCTGCGTTTCTTCTTTCTCCGTCAAACGATCTGCTGTTTTCTGTGTTTTGGCAGGCAGCCTACAGCCTCCACCAGTCAGTGTATCGTTGTGCCATGCTCTGGAAACAGAAGGCTCTCTGCAAGAGCCTAGACCAACCTCACTCCCTTCTGCCTCCTCCAAAGAAGCGGGTGACATTTAAGGTGCCTGCATCTGACGGTGGCTCCTGGGAAAGAGGAAACTCAGCAGAGAGTCTGTGCCGCATGAAGAGTGATGATCTTCCATTCCTCCTTGCTGCTGGGGACTCTGTTCTTAGTGAGCTGTGAGTGTAAAGCTGAGTGTGACCTGTGTCCCTAGCACTGCAGCTCAGGTTCACTTTCTTAGTCCTGCAGTGACCACTATGAACTTCCAGCTGTTTTCTTCATTCCTAACACTGCCTCATATGTCTACTCATGCTGAACTCTTAAAACTGCTGCATAATGCATGTGGCTCTCCATGAATAATGAAAGGATTCGTGACTACATGCTTCCTTAGCGACTGTTAGAAGTTTTAGCCCAGTATAGTCTACCAGAGGTGCTTCCCTACTGTATGGTAATGGGTTGCTGGTAAGCTAGTGGACCTCTAAGGTAGAATTGTCCTATAGGGGAGTGTGAGCCCAATAGTATAGGAATAGAAATATTACTACCATGAAACTCTGAACACAGTAACCCAACTGGCACTAAACCTGAAAGTCTTCACAGCCTTTCACTCTCCTGGTAAGGGCTAAGTGTGGAATCTTGCTTGGCAGACAGCAATCTCTATGAATCTAAGTGTAATGAAAGAATGGGCTGCAGTGTCAGTGTCCCACTTATACTGATGATCAGTTTTTCCTCTCCCCTGCACATTGCGGGGAAAAAGGAACTGTGTTCTCTCTGCCTCTGTGAAAGTTTTCCCCTCTGAAGCCGTTGACAGCCTTGCTAATGCATCTCTTCAGGAGACTTTGTAGAAATTTTGCAAAGCTGCTACAGCCCAGGACAGGAGTCCCTGGGGGGTCTAGGTAACTGTTCTTCTTGTTCTTTTCCCAGAAATGCTGTCCGCCAAGCAAGGTTACAGCCACGTCGCCCTGACTTCCTGCTGGGATCTCTGGAGAGAGAGAAACTCTTAGGAACACCTTTCCCTAGGTAAGAACACTTTAAAAACAGGGGAAAGGAAACTAAGCATAAGGGCCACTGTTGTCCCTACTCAGCTGCTTTTGTCACATGAACTGAATGTACCCTGTTGCAAATAGCACACTTTATGATGTTATGACTATCTTGATTTGCATAGGAGGGTTCTATACAGTATAAAGACCACAGCAAGTGGAAAAGCTTCAGGCATCTTACAAAATGGACAGTAATGTAGCAATTGTGTTAACCTAGCAGCTCCCAAGAGCTCAGTTTCCCCCAGTGAGGGAATGACTAAGTTAGTTTAAACTATGTTCTGTGACACAACTGAAGTGCCAGCTGTGCTCTGAAAAAATTCTGTGCAAAATGGCTTTGGAGCTTTTGCCTTTGGTATACCTCTGATTTTTCCACATGGAAACTCACTTGCTAAGCCAGATGGCGTTTCTTACTGCCAGCTCTGCAACCTTAACCCTCAGGTCTGAGTCATGAGGGTGTTTGCTGGCTCTTGTGCTCTTAGACCCTGCCCTTCCTCACCCCATGATGCAGATACTACAGCTGAACCTGTTGGCCTTGCCATTGAAATGTTTACCCACAATTCAATTAAGTGCATGAGCCAGAACCCTTCACCCTCTTCTTTTTTTAGCTGAGTTGGCTCTTGAGGGCTGAGGAGGGAGAAGTAATGTTAGTAACCATCATCCTCAAACTCTCCGAGCACTTGCACCCTCCCCCAACACTATAGCCCAGAATAGCCCATTAAAGAGTTACCAGTTTTGATGTTTCCCTTCTGACACTTGTAAAGCTCAGGATGTTGAGGCAGGCAGCACTTAAACTGTCGTGAAGCACTTTACTTCAGCTCTAGTTACCATATCACTTTTCTTCTGAAAGGAGGGGGCTGAAGCTGCTCTTGCTGTAGAAGCTGAAGTTGCTGCAGGAAAAAATATATTAAAAATACTTAGTTTAAGTTTGCTTTGAAACTGTGCTCTCACATTAGGTGTATGGCTTCTGCTTCAGAGAAAGGAAAGAAACTGCAGTTCAGAGAAGTGTGCTCCTGTCCATTGGTTGTACTGTCAAAGTCTTGATTGAGTTCTTGTCCTGGGACTGAAAAGAGGCAGAAATGGACTCCTGGTGCAAATGGTGTGTTTCTAGCAGCTTTAGGAAATGCATTTGATTTTGTTGGTTCTTCTGGTCTTGTGACTGGGGAATTACCTGCCTAATGAAGTAGTTACCTTGGGTGCTGGGGGAAGGAGTCCTATAGGTTGCCACCACCTCCTTTGAAATTGCACTGCTCCTGCATTGCACTTCCATTTCTAATTAACTTGTGCCACAGAATTAAGATCAGATCACTGAGCCAGATGCTGTAGTATTGTTGGGGACTGTAGGGGATCAGTTGACTCCTCAGGACGGGTTTGCTGCTTCTGTACGCAACCATAACTATGCTTCCCTTTGGCAACCCTGCATTGAGGATAAGAGACCCTATGGGCTGTCTGGAATGTAACAACACTTTGCCCTTTACTTCCCCTTCTAGAATGGAGGGAGCAGAAATGCCTTTGCAACAAGCAGCTGTGAACAAACATTTTGCTCCAGCCAAGAACTTGCTGCCATCGACTCAAGCAGACCGAAGCAGCTATAGTTTGTCACTTCACATGGACAGCAATACAAACACCATCTGCCCCCTTCGTGCATCTGCCCCATTGCCCTGTATACCATCTTGGACACCTGTCATGCAGCATTCTGTTCAGACAAATCCAAAGCTTGAGCTATTGCCTCCCTCATCTTTCATGCCATGTGTGAGACATGGATCAGAACTGGTGAGTTTTGAGGAGGAATTAAAGTAACTCCATGAGTGACTGGCTGCTTGTTACTTGTTTACTGTTTCCCTATTGATTCTCCCCACCCCCCATCTTCCCTGAGTTGTTCTTTGCTTGTCCTGGCACCTGCAATAGGCTAAGTCAGCAGGCTCTTAAAGTAAAATGATCCTTTCCATTCCACCTGCCAGTCACAATAGCCACAGTCTGAAGAAACAGTTCTCATGATCAGAGCAAGTGTATTTGTACTGCAGGAGAATTCACATCTTGTTCCTGATTCTGGCATCTGACTGGGAGGAAAATATTCAAAGGGTTCAGCATCTACTGCCTGTTAAGCTGAGGAAATCTAGTTAAGAGTAACTCAACTTGGTAGTGCCGCCTTTTTGTGGTTGTTTTTTGTTTGTTTTTGTTTTTTTGGCAAAAGGGTAGGGATGGGGATGTGGGGATTCTTTAAGAGCTGAAATCCTTCTGTTCCATGGAAAAGCTCTGACCACAAATAGTACCTGAGGAGCAAGGCAGTGGGGAGGCACTTGTGGACACCCAGGAAGTACAAAGTTACCTTTGGAAGCAGAGTTTAGTGTCTTACATCAAGTGGGGAGGGTCCTGTCTGGAAGGCCTTCTCTGGGGTTGTGCTTTACCCTGTTTAAGGGCAAAATGACTGTTTTATCATCCTACACTTCTCTTGCCCTTGCAGATTAGAGGCAAATCCCTGAATGGTCACCCAGAAGCCACTCCCCATGACACACAGCAGGCCACTGCAGGAGAAGAGATGGTGCAACTCAACCCACAGGCACATCTGCTGTTGCCCGAAGGCTTTACAGGAAGAGAGAGAAGCCCCAAACCTGCAGGTAGGTCTCAAGATCTGACCTACAGTTGCTGTGCCTCCACCAAAGTCCCCCCAACAAGTGCTTCCCCTAGTGTTGGGGAAAATGTTGTATGTGTCTGCTTTGGAAAGGAGAGCTGTATCAGGATGCTGAAGAATTAATTGGGGCACAGGGCTCCTGGAGAGAGAAGGATGTGAACATATAGGTTCAACCTAGCTAGCAAGAAAACTGATGTTATTGCTGGCATGTTTATATGCACATCTGTGTAAACAAGCTTTGGGGTTTTGAGGAAAAGGGGAACTGCCTGGAGGAAAATGGCTGGCAAGGGAGCAAGGCCCAACCCATGGGGCAATTATTTGCCATCTTAAGTGATCCCTACCAGGTAGAGAGTGTCCTGGAGCTGCAGGCTAGTGTGATCAGTGGCTGTTTCCACTATGGTCATGAATCATAAGACAGGATCTAAATGTTCTGTGGGACTAGGCTGAGGATCCTGCTTGATATTGACTATATGCTATGTGGCTATTTGGTTTCCTAGAGCAGACCACATTTAATTATTAATGGAAAAACTCAAGTACAAACACACTCTGGTACTAAGCCTCTGCTTCAGGGTGTCATGTCTCCTCTTGCATGTGAGAATAGAACCTAGAGAATTACATGCATAGTACTGGAGGTCTTGGTCAATGCTCCTTTAGGCTCCTGCTGGGCATAGCGTAATCTAATGCTGTTAGCAAGGGAAGAGAGGCTGGAGGTTGCATATTGCCAGGTGGTATAATGAAAAGGATCCAGGAGGGTGGTGAGTTCCCAACTGTCTGTCTAACAAGTAGACACAGGAAACAGACCATAGCTTTGCAGTGTCATTGTGTGTGCGCCTTGGGTTTCCTTTCAGGTAAACATGAACAAAGGCAAGGCAGTTCAACCAAGCGAGTAGAGCTGGAAGCAGAACTCCAACACATCCGTCTGGAAATGCAGCATTACTGCAACAGCAAGCGGGAGCTCAAGTGCGTAGCATTCCTTCCCTTCTAGCCTCAGTCCAGTGCTGCATTGCCACTGTTGGTGCAGTTCAGTTGTTAAAAATGACCCCTTTCCACTCTTACTTGAACATGGGCTCTGGACCTGTTCTGTTGCCCCTGCTGACCTGTGAGGGGTTGTTATAGCCCTGCAGAGCCAGCATTGCTTTCTTACACTTCGTCATTTGGTTTAGGTGGCTTGGGGCAAACACTGAAGAAGTAACACTGTACAGGTGTCAGTAAGGGCATCATTTGAGTACTTTGTAGCTGAATTGGTGCAACTGAGCCAATGCTTAGCCTGCAGTGGTACACAAGGGAGTAACTAGCATCATGTTTGGCTCCCTTTTAACTCCCCAGTCCAAATAATCAAATACCTTTCTGAAAGTTCATTGGGGCTGGCCTTAAGCGTAAGCCAGCAGCAAAGCTCCAGTTGATTTCTGTAGCCAAGGCACCTTAACGCCTCTGCCACTGTACCCCCTGCCTTATGTTTGTTGGAGCATGGACTAGAACCAGTCTCTCCCTTTTCTTTGATTAAATACCTTAACCACTAGGATATAGGTGTGTGCTTGTGTTCTTTCTTTGCTGCAACATATATAATTATTCCATGAGAGCAGAGCAGTTTCCATAGGGAGACTTGAAAACTGACCCAGACCAACCAATAGTTACGTGGTTGTGGAGCATTCACTTGTCAGGTAGTGGATGTAGAAAGTCCTAACCTGCAGCTTGAGCTTGCATCTTGGGTGAATGCTTTAACAGCTGAGCTGTGGCCAAAAGGAGAGACCTCCTCCTGCATCTTTTGCTTGGTTAGAATCTGAGAGTGCCTTCCGATGTGGTTCTGTAGTTGGATTCCAGTGTGGCCTAGGCACCTACTTGCTTGGCCCTGTCAGGGTGTAGGTGTCCTGGCATGCAGGGAGCTTGCCCAGTGAGGGTTAGATAGCAGTTGAAGAGAGAGTTTGAGGCTTTGTATTTTGGACTCAAGGCACTTGCATGCTTGCCTCCCATCTGGCAGGCACAAGCCAACCTGAGGGGTTGCAGATTTGCATTTACACAGTTGACTTTTAATAGAAATCTCTTCTGTAAAGCAATCTGTAAAGAGCAGTCACAGAGCACCTTCCTAGCAATGTCTGCATGTAATGCTGGGCATGAGACACAAAGTACCTTCCTTTCTCTTGCATTGTTAGTTCTGTACTGAACAGGAATCTTTGATTTACTCTCTCAGGTCATGTCAGCGGCAAGCACAGATTCTACGTAAGTGGCTAGATACGAGTACAGGTGGCACAGGGCCGGAGGAGCATGAGGCTGTCCAGCATGTTCAAGAAGAGTTGGAGCAGGTACGTGGGGCGGGGGAGAAGGCAGAGCAAACACTGGCCCCATGATGCTGTTGTATAGAAGTAGAGAATTGAATGGTATCGCAGGACTGGGCTACTCTTGCTTGCTTGTAAAACTATGCATAATGTTATAGAAGCATCATGAGAGCTTAGCAAAAGTAAGGGGGGAGGGGGTGTGAGGAGGGAAAACTGTTTCTCCAAGCAGAGGGGGCACTGGGAGTAAGAGTGGAAAAGGAACCATAAAATCTGGGGATATTGCTGTACTTCCTGAGCTGACTGGGGTTAGCAGCAGCAAAACTGACACAAGCTGTGCTACCCTATAGAAGTGCACCCAAGATTTCTAAGTAGCTAAGCTGCACTGAAGTCTATGTTGCAGTATTTAGTGCTTCCAGTATTCAAGCTAGCTTGGGTATGTCAGTGTGCTGCAGGCTGCTCTGATGGCATTTCATTATCTGAGGCGGGGGAAGAACCACAGCCCAGCTGCAGAAGGTGTAACCCAGTTCAATCACTTAATGCTTCCTAATCAATCAGGGGAGGTAATGAGAATGACTGGTGGCATGGTTAGCAACTGAACTAATTGGACTGCTTTAATCACCAGCTTAGCCCTTTCCTCTTCCCTGCTCTCTTTCATAGTTGGTGCTAAGGATCAACTCTCTGGCAAAAGTGGTCTTGGAGGGGAGAGAGAGAGTACAGAGTTATGTCATGCGTCTACAGGACATTCGTGCTGCTCTGGCCATGTAATTAATCCAAAACTTCTGAAGAGTGGTTCATGTTCCCTGGTAAGATGATTGCTGCTTTGTCACTGATGGGGAGTGGGGACATAGACAGACTTGTCAGGGGAAGACAATATTGAGTGTCTATGCCTCACTGAATCATGGACCAAGCCTGGCCCACTAGTTCATGTAAAACTCCTTGCACGTGTGTGTGATAAAGTTGCCTTTTCTGTTTTAAAAATTAATTTATGTAACACGTTGTCATATTCATTTACCACAACTGTAAACAGGTGGGAAAATTTCCTGTTGTATAGCTCAGAAATGTGCATTCATACAGTAGCCCAAAGTTACTTGAGTGATGGGTCCACATATACCTGGCTAGCAAAACTGCTCCTACTATTTTAAGACAATAAACAACACGTATAAGACTTTTTATTCAAAATGTTTTGCAGGTAAATGAGTTAATGTTCATAAGTCGTACACTTTGACATACAAAAATACCGTGCTACTGATACAGTTGAAAAATTAAATGGATTCTCCATGTAGGAGAAATTCACAGCATCACCAGTACCTTCCAGGAACTCTGCTTCCCCTTTCTATGACCAGTGCTGATCTAGGGCTAAGATTCCTCTTCCCCAGCCATCAGCCAGGCTTCTACAGTGTGAAGACTACCATGAAGAGTTAACCTGGTGCAGAATGATCTGCCTCTTTTCAGATTTATGTTAAAGTAAGCAGCAGCACCCTCTTCTCCACTGTTAACCTAACCATGGCCCTCAGATACTATGGAGGATGATGCCAAGTAGTGAGAAATTAAAGCTTAGAGTTGCTTTGGCCATGCCCAGAGGCAATTAAGCCCCAGTGGAGGGGGTGGGTGGAAGAGATTCAGTCTTCCTTCCTTTGACCCACTGGAACAGGTCCAACAAGTTGGAATTTGCAAGAGGCTAGTGACAGCTTTAACCCCTGGGGCTGATATCTGTCTTCATGCACTTCACACCCTCAAGTTTTTGTTTTTAAATCTCCGCATATTTGAAACCAGACTGTTGTGATACACTAATACAGGAGCTAACTTGCTAACTGAAAGGGTTTAAACAAGGTGGCTGGCTGCTAAGAGCCACTTCAAACTTCTACAAAAACCATCCCCATAGAAAAGGAGGAAAGACTGACTTAGAACCAAAGGATTCTTTTTTTCCACCCCCCTGCCTCCCCTTGTGCATCAAACAGTCAAGATCATATGGTAAGTATTTGTCAGGCTGTGTTAGCAAACAGATTACATCATCTCTTCTTCCCTACTAGGAAGCTATATGTACAGGGGCTTGACCAACTGCACACTTACAACAAAATTCCTTTCTATTTTCTGCACAGCCCAGGGGGAGTTTAGACTTTCCTTCAGCACAGCTGAACTGCAAGGAGACGGAACAAGAAGAAGGTATAGACTCCCAAGAAGCATTTTTGTCAGAAGACCCCCTTAAAGTAGCAGCAGATTAAGTAAAACATCCAGTGCCCCAGTGGCATGTGTGCCCTTGAAGCTCAAGCCAGCGTGGAACACATTCAGACAGGAGTTTGAGTTAATTCCCTCACTTGGCCTAGTTACTTACAGGCATTTGATTTCCTGGACTCCAAGTAGAATTTATTTTAGAATAGATGATAACATTGCTTTAAAAGTGAGTATCTCTCCACTCTTTTGGCACCAGTTGCTGTCAATCCCATTACTGACAACAAGAAGCTTAACACACCAAGTATTAGTGTCATGTTTCACAGACTGGCTGAAATGTTAATATCTCCATTCTAATCTTCCTTGGTATGAATTTACAAAAACATTTAAGTTTGCAACAGAATGAAGCTTCAGAACAGAGCTCTCAGCCCCAGCATCTCTCTACCAGGTCTGAGGGCAAAAAGTACAAGTTTGGCTTCTTCTACTGTGATAAATAGTTGCAAGTTCTTTGCTGGATGGAAAAGCAGGTTAGTGCACCAGGGGAGCAACCTGAGATTGCTCTGAAAATTCACAATGGTTTTGAATATAGTCAGTGCATGTGGTATTTCAATCCATGCACTAACAGTAGGCCCTGAAGTATTTCAAAGTGTTTAATAAATGAAGAAATCCCTCCACCCAGAACTTAGTGACAGATCCCACAGTTTATGACAACAAAAAAAGCAACATCCCATGAATAGCAGAAGGGGAACACACACTTTGGCTGCCTTCCTAATGTAAAGCACAAGGGGGCTCTGATGGAAACACCCCAAGCACTGAAAAGGCAATATACCCCTTAAGTGTTATTTTTCCTGTCACAATCTTCTCTTGCAACAGCTTGTCATTGGATGAGTGTATCAGCCACATGAACAAAAATCCTTAAGGCCTGGAATAACTAAGTAAAACCACAGAGGTGGAGATAGAGTGGCTGGGGCTGACTGCCACAAGTTTTAAAAAAATCCTTAAAAAAGATGAGTATGATAATCAGTTTGACCACATGGAATGTAGACACAGTGTTTTCAGGTTAAAAATACAGTGCAAAGTCCAATTTAAAGGGACAGTGTCAGGTTATGAACTTTTGAACGCTTTATATCTGTTGCTAATACATTGAATTGTTATGACTGAATGAGTCTAAGTTGCTTTCACCAATACTGATGTTGTTTTGTGCACTTCTCCTAGTCTGGCCAATGAAACTATACTAGCCAGTTTAGACTTTATGGCTGTCCTGTATTAACATGATGCTGAATGATGGTTCTGAAAAATAAATGTGGGAAGACATACTAGATAGTTTGAAACCCAGATTTTACAGAACTGAAATTTTAGATCTTGATCAACCTGTCAGTGTCCCTTTAAATATACTAATCTCTCTGCCTTCATCCCTCCCCCTTGCAACTACAGAGTCTGAGCAGGCCCAGTAAGGAGCTACATACTCTGTAAATGTAATCAGTTTTCGGCAGGCTAAAGTGGGGGAGAGCATGAAAGACTTCAGGCACAGGGCGGAACAGGAACCTCCCTGGTCAACATTCTTAAAGGCGTCTGTATCTGATATGTATATGAATTATCCGATTATTTTACTGCACTCAGCAAGGGTATGCACTATAGGGTGCACACTCCCCGTTTAACAGAGCAGTGATGCATGTTATTTCCCTCACCCAGGTCCTGCTGAGTGATATTTTCTGTTTAGTGAAACATTTCCTTGTACAGCTGAGTCCTTCCATGTATAAAATCCTCTTGCTCTGGCAGTTCCTATAGGGACCCCAGGGCTTCTCCAAAGCGAATTTTTTGTCCAGGTTTGAGGTGGAACTTGAAGTCCTTGGGTGCCTCAAAGATGAGAACAATGGTTGAGCCCAGGTTAAACTCGCCTAAGTGTTCTCCCTTCCTCATGGGGATGCCCTCCTTGTTGTTGTTGGTTATGAAGCTGAAGTCATTGTAGGAGCCTTTGGAGTAACGTGGACTATTAGTATGCAAGTCCTGCATGCAGAGGGGAGAAAAAGACTGTCACGTGTGCATTTCAGTATCCTCTATTCATTACCAGGGCTAGTTTCAAAGCAGTAACTTGCAATTCAAAGGGGAGTCAAGAAACTATACAGAGTAGATGCCTCAACCTGGTCCTAGAACACACACGCCAGTCCACAGAGTAACACTGCTTAAAAATCATCCAAGTTTCAATTTTAGCTTGCTGCTAAATTCAAAGAAAGGAAAGATGGACCTAGTTTCATTAAGTGGCCTTGTTTCATTACGTTAGAGAGACAGTATCCCTGACCTTCAAAACAAAGCTTGATTTTTTGTCATGCCACTCACCTGGTCAAAGTAGATGCGGATAGAGCCCACATTTGTGGCTCCTACTGCTGTTAGTGAGAAAAAGCCATGTTTCCAGTCCCCTGTGAGGACAACACGCTCATTATGGCAGAATAGCTCCTTGATCCAACGAGCAACCCCTGGATTCACAGACATTAGGGAGCCTATAGTAAATAGGAAGAGCAAGGTTAGGAGTCTTTATCAAGCTGCAGCTTCAAGGTCACTAAAGGCTAGCCTGGGCCAGCCTTTACACCCTTAGGCTGCGTACAGACAGAAACCCCCCCCCAAAACTGGCACTTCTGTTTAAACTCTGCGCACCCCCCATCCCAAGCCCGGTGCTTGCCTAGAAGAGGCAGTGCATTAACTGGACCCAGTTCACCCAGAGTCTGTACAGATCGGGTGCTTTAATGGAGCTTTTTTGGCACCTGTATCTAGTAGCTGATTGAATGAAGCTATTAGATAAAACCCCGGATGAAGCATGTGGTTTATACAGATGCTGCAGAGCAGAGTCGAACCAACACACTGCTTGTTCCAGTAAAGCATGGTGGGTTTTTTTTCCATATCTGACAGCACCCATAGTCACATGAATCAAGACTAACATAGCTTGGCAGATCTTAACTGCCGTGGGATTAGGACACATTACTACTCTAAAGCAGTGGTTCCCAACCTTTTTTATACTGCGGACCAGTACGGGAGTGAAACGGGGCGCATGGAGCTGGCTGCCTCCCTCCAGGGGCTGCCCCACCACCCAGTTTTAACCTTGTACACGACTGCCTACAGCAGAAGCCACTTGCCCGGCTAGACAGATGCGGGGCTTGTACCACGACCTGGCAACCAACCCTTTGCGGCCCAGTGGTTGAGAACCTCTGCTCTAGAGCAGCCCTAATGGAGGACTTGAATAGAACTGAGAGAATTCACAAAGAACAACAAGCAGGGTTCACATCATCTGAAAGGGCTGTATTGAGACAGAAGTGATTGAAGAGAGGGGAACTCTAAATGGCAATCCACATTATTCCCACATAGAATTCCTGCAACCCTATGGAAAGCATTTGGGAACATCTGTACTTCCTTAAGATGTTACATATACCAGTCAGAGGCAGAAACATGTGACAAAGTTAGATTTGGAGTTCTAGAATCTAGATTCACCAGCTAAGGGCCTACTGAGGATTACTAAATCTCTAAAAGTGCTTGATCTTTAACATCTGCAAACAGAGCCCTGGAGCACCTAAGGACTCAGCACCTATGTTCACATCCAAACACAGTTAGATCATGACACTATTTTACAATGAGTCTAGCACTGAACAGATCAAGTCCATTTTCACCTGTAACTTTTCAAAATTATCAGAATGCTCCTTAGTATGAAGGTGCTTGAATCCCTCTTCACTTTTGCCACCAATGGGGAACATACTTTTAAATATCAGTTATCCCATGGCAGGAGCTCCTCATCTGCCCAACACTCCCCTAAGGAGGCAAAATCTGTGTTTAGATTTGTTTGAAAATATCTGCCATTGCTCGGAGCCTAATTTATCATCCAGAATATTTAAGCTCCTGGCTCCCTGCTGAAGGGTTAAATGAAAGGGAAAACATTCCTACTAAATAGCTCATTAACAGGGATCTTGGTTTCTTAGGTGGGGGGGAAGGGGGGGAAACAGCGTAAAATGCAGATTTCCCATTTTAGCAGGGAAATCTGTGGCTTTTACAGCAAGCACTTTTTGCAAGCGAGTAGGAGGAGGGCCATCAGGCAGGGGGTGCCATGTACATATATATGCACATGGCTCCAGGCAGCCTGGGGAGCAGCTCCCACAGGTAAGGGTGGGGGGGAGGCAGAAGCCCCACAGGGAGGGAGGGAGTTGGGCAGGGCTGAGGTTGTTGCCCAGCCAGGCAGGGTGTGGAGCTTGGGGCCCAGGGCCACAATGCACGGCCCTGGCCAGGAGTGGGACAGGGCTATGGGCAGCTCATCTAGGGGACATGGGGCCAGCTCCCTGCCACTGCGTGAACTGGAGGGACAGAGGGAGGACCCATGCCCCCAAGATCTGTGGACAGGGTGGGGACAGAGGCAGGTGTGGGCTGCACACTGCAGGCTCCTGTCCTACTGCCCTGGGGCCTCTGCAGCTCAGCAGATGTAACCCAGTGCTGCAGTGAGCTCCATAATACCCTGGCAACGCTGGGGGGGAGGAGGGAGGCAGGCAGCATGGGTGGCAGAGCAGGGTTGTGCCCCTCCCTGCTGCTGCATGTGTGGGAGATGTCACTAAGGCAGTGCAGAGCTCACAGCAAGCAGCTTCCCTGTGCAACCGCGCTCTGCCCTGCAGCACTGGGTCATACCTGCGGGCTGCAGGGGCCTCAGGAGAGGGCAGTAGGGCAGCCTTGCACAGTGATCTGAGGGGGCATGGGTCCCCGCTATCCCCCAGGAGTGTGTGCTGCGACAGGAGGCTGGCCCCACCCCCTTCCTGAGCCCACAGCTGGCAGCAGGGGGGAGTCAGCTCCATGCTCCACTGCAGCAGCTGCTGCCTTCTATGGAGAGCAGGGGGCTGCAGACCTGGGTCCCTGGCCCCATAGCTCTGGCAACTGGGGGCCCCTCTGCCAGGGCTGGGGGAGCAGGGGCTGTGGGTGGGGGGCAAGGGGCATCAGCAAGGCTGGAGGTTCTGTGGGGGAGCCTTCAATTTTAATAATGGATTTGGGGGGGGTTTATCAGAGAATTTGCAATTTTTTTTTTTTTTTTTAAATCAGGGAAAACCAGGATCCCTGGTCATTAATAATACTTTGCCATAGAAGGATGTATAAATCTAATAAGCTTTGCCGCTTGCTCAGCCACAGTATTTGAGTCTAGCATCTTCATCTATGTTCACAGAATCAGCATGAACATGACAATATCACTGCCACCCAACAAGCTCAGGTGGAACTCAAACTGGACAAGGGGCTTTCTGGTCCTAGTGGGTTGTAACTATGCAAAATGGTTCTAGTGCTAAGAAACAAAACAGGTCTTTTTATCTACATGAATAGTATCACTGGACCACATCTCTAGCACTACTGGAAGAAAGCCATGATCTGTAGCCCTTCCAGTCCTGCAAAAGCATGAAGAAATGACTCTAGTACTGCAGAAATAAGCTAGGCAGCTCACCAGATAGGAAACAAAAGGCTTAAAGTGGGCCTAGGATCCAAAAAGAAAGTGTACCACAAAAGAAACTATAAAGGCTTCCAACCTATCTCATAGTACAGAAGAACATATACAGCAGTCATTAGGTTTCACCAGAGCCAGCAGGTTTGTAGCTAAAGCCATTTTTGTATTTTGTTGCACTTACAATGGATCTCCTGGCAGCATTTCCCTCTGAAACCCCAGCTTCAGTCTAAAGTTTGACAGATATCATGAGACTCATGCCAGCTCTCAGTCTCTCTCTCTTTCACAGGGCATTTGAAATCTTGTCTAAATCCTTTCTTTGTTGTTAGGTAATTAAAAAAAAAAGAATAAAAGAACTAGCATCTGCTGAATGAAGGATGTGTCTATTTGTAAAGTGAGGAGTAGGGCTGTGGGTAAAACCTCCCAGCTGTGACTCCAATCAAGTGACTTTGTTTAGTTACATATTCACAGGCTCCATAAGACCGAGTTACCCATAATCATCACATTCCCCCTCCAGGAAACTCCCCTTTGCCAGCCTTAGAGACTGTGCCTTAGATTGCTGCTTGTTCTGTGGATATGGAAAGGGAGAGTGCTCCTTCTCCCCATTTAGGTGATGAGAGAACATTTTCAAGCTCTTAATCTTCACTGTAAGAAATTTAATGGAAACAAGTCAGGTTTTCATACACTGAGAGAACTGGGATTGTTTGGAGACCGAGTTACTCAACTCACTAGTTACGATAAGCTATGGGCAAGACTCTGAAACCCAGAAATTTATTAGGGTGGTGCTCAGGATTTTCATGTGTGCAACAAGCAGCTCACTCCTGGTTCTGCAAGCACATCACAAAGACATAGTTCTGTGCCTTTCTCAGTAACAGACCCTGC